GTCATTTCTGCCCTGGGGAAAAATCTCTGACTATCCACTCTATCTATGCCTCTCATCATCTTGTACACCTCTATCAAGTCATCTCTCATCCTTCTTCGCTCCAATGAAAAAAGCCCTAGCTCCCTCACCCTTCCCTCATAAGACCTGCCCTCCAATCCAGGCAGCATCCTGGTAAATAAAAACCAAAAGAACTGCGGATGCTGTAAATCAGGAACAAAAACAAAGTTGCTGGAAAAGCTCAGCAGATCTAGCAGCATCTGTGAAGGAGAAAACAGAGTTAACGTTTCGGGTCTGGTGACCCTTCCTCAGAACTGATTTTCTGAAGAAGGGTCTAGGCCCAAAACGTCAGCTTTCCTGCTCCTCTGATGCTGTTTGGCCTGCTGTGTTCGTCCAGCTCTACACCTTATCTCAGATTCTCCAGCATCTGCAGTTCCTACTATCTCTCCCCTTGTTGCTGTCCTGATTTCCCTCTTAAGCATATTTCTTCTGCCTTCATACCCAAATAGGGATTCACTCAATCCATGCTGTCTATACCTGACATGTTTCCTCCTTTTTTCTTGACCAAAACCTCTTTCTCAAGTCATCTAGCATCTTCACCCTAACAGGAACATACTGTCTCTGGCCCCTCATTATTTCTTTTTTTTGAAGGCTTCTCATTTTCCAGCCGTCCCTTTACCTGTGAAGATCCACCCCCAATCAACTTTTGAAAGTTCTTGCCTAATAGCATCAAAATTGACCTTGCTCTAATTTATAACTTTAACTGTTAGGTCCAGTCTATCCTTTTCCATCACTGTTTTAAAACTAATAGAATTATGGTCACTGGCCTCAAAGTGCTCTCCCACTGACACCTCAGTCACCTGCCCTGCCTTATTTTCCAAGAGTAGGTCAAGTTTTGCTCCTTCTCTAGTAGGTACATCCACATACTGAATCAGAAAATTTACTTGTACACACTTAACAGATTCCTCTCCATTCAAGCCCTTAGCACTATGGCAGTCCCAATTAAGAAAGTATGGGCAGAGAAAGGGAGATTGGAGGTGAGAGGGGGTCACGCTATTTATAGCCACAAATTAACCTACAGCAATGATGACAATTGTAATTGTCAACAGTCAGTCTGCTGATAACCTGTTTGGGTTTCACGAGCAATTTGCAATATTAGACACAAGATTGTCTGATCAAACACCCTCCCATTTAGGTAGGTATTGCACTTCCTTTGGGAATCCTTTCTCTATATGAGAATTAACTTTTGTGACAGTTAACTGGCAAGCTTTGTTTATACTTTAATCCAACGCATTGACTTGCCAATGCCTTCGTCAAGGTATTGCATTGTCAGTTGCTGTCTAACTGATGTAGAGGCATTGCCATGGGGAGAACCAATCATGATAGTTCACAACCAATTGGCGCTCTCTTATACAGTATGCGTTTTCCCTTTTCTTTGGTATTCTTGTGAATATTCTGATGAGTACACGACAAAAAGCTTCAGCATAATGTGGAAAATGACACAACAAAGAGCAAAAGAAACGAGAATAATACAGCACAGGAACAGGTCCTTCGGCCCTCCAAGCATGCGCTGACATACTTTGCCCTTCCATACAAAACTGTTTTCACTTACAGGATCTGTATCCCTCTATTCCCTCCCTAATCATGTATTTGTCCAGGTGAATGCTGCTATTGTCTGCTTCTGCAACCACCACCTCTGGCAACATGTTCCAGGCACTCACCACTCTCTTTGTGTGCAAAATTTGCCTTGTACATCTCTTGACCTCCAACACTGTACTTTGAGCCTGTGCCCCCTAGTAATTGACCCATCCACCCTGGGGAAAAAACCTCATACTTTCCATTCCATCCATGCCACTTACAATCTTCTGTCGGTTGTTTCCACCACCACCACCACCACCCCCCCGCCCCCAAACTGTCTCTGTCTCACTCACACACCTCCTGCATGCCAGTGAAAACTAACCCATTCTGTCCGACCGTGCTTCATGGCTAAAGTCCCCAGTACAAGGCAACATCCTGGTAAACCTCTTTCTGTATCCTCTCCAAAGCATCCACATCCTTCTGGTAGTGTGGTGACCAGAACTGTACGCAATATTCCAAGTGTGGCCTAACTAAAATTCTATAAAGCTGCAGCATAATGTATCTATCCGTATACTTGATGCCTCTTCCAATGACAGCAAGCATGCAATAGGCCTTTTTTAGTATCTTATCTACCTGCACTGCCACCTTTCAGTGATCTGTGGACCTGTACACCCAGATCCCTCTGCATATCAATTCTTCAAAGGGTTTTGCCATTCACTGTTTCATTTCCACCTGTACTTGACCTTCCAAAATGCATCATTTCACATTTGTCTGGATTAAACTCCATCTGCCATTTTTCTGCCCATGCCTCCAACTGATCTATATCCTATGTATCTTCTGACAATCCTCGTCACTATCCACAACTCCACTAACCTTTGTATAGTCTGCATACTTACTAATTAGATCAGCCACATTTCCTTCCAAATTATTTATAGTCATAATGAACAGTAGAGGTCCCAACACTGACCTCTTTGGAACACCACTAATCACAGCCCTCCATTCCAAGAAGTATCCTTCCACTGCTACCCTCTGTCTCCTATAACTAAGCCAGTTCTGTATCCATCTTGCTAGCTTATCCGCGATACCATGTGACTTCATCTTTTGTACCAGTCTGCCATGACGGACCTTGTCAAAGGCTTTACTGATATCCATGTAGACAACATCAACCACTTTTCCCTCATCAATCATGTTCGTCACCACCTCTAAACTCGATCAAGTTAATGAGGCATGACCTTCCCCCGCACAAGACCATGCTGTCTATCGTTAAGAAGTCCATTCACTTCTAAATGCGTATAGATCTTGTCCCTAAGAATCTTTTCCAATAATTTCCCTACTGCCATCGTGAGGCTCACAGACCTGTAATTTCCAGCATTATCCCAGCTACGCTTCTTAAACAGTTGGCTATTCTCCAGTCCTCTGGGACCTCACCTGTGGCCAAACAGGATAGAAAGATGTCTTGTCAATGCTCCAGCAATTTGTTCTCTTGCCTCCCTCAATATTCTGGGATAGATGCCATCAGGACCGGGGGACTTATCGACCTGAATACTGTTTAAGACGCATAACACTTCTTCCTTTTTAATAGCAACTCTGCTTAGAAATTCAACACTCCCTTTCCTGAGATTATCCTTCACCAATTCCTTCTCTTTGAATACCAATGCAAAGTATTCATTTAGGACCTCAAGCTCCTTTGCCCTCGAGTGGGCCAACCCTTTCTGTGGCTACCCTCTTGCTTTTGTGTGTGTGTGTGAACCTGGGGATTCTCTTTAATTCTATTTGCTGATGACTTTTCATGACCCCCCCCCCCCCCCCCCTTTTAGCCCTTCTAATTCCTTATTTAAGTTCTTTCCTACTTTCCTTATATACTTCAAGGGCTTTGTCAGTTCCTTTATAGATATACTTTTCCTTTTTAACCAGGGTCATAACATCCTTGGTCATCCTAGGTTCAATTAACTTGCCATACCTATCCTTCATTCTCGCAGGAACATGCCACTCTTGAACGCTTATCAACTGCCGTTTGAAATACTCCCACATGTGCAATGGATTTAGCCTCAAACAGCCGTCTCCAATCAAAATTCTCCAGTTCCTGCCTAATGTTGTTGTTCCCCCAATTTAACACCTTTGCCTGAGGACTGCTGTTATCCCTATACATGAATATTTTAAAACTCACGGTATTGTGGTCACACTTAAAACTCAGTTTCATGATCACTGTAGCTTTGTACTGCCTATCTTGTCTCATCATACATTACAAAACAACAGAATAGATCTGGTAATGTATTGTTGCTCTATTTTTTGGGAAGCAAGACACTCATACGAAGCGCAGTTTAGACAGCTCAGCGGGCCTGGCAGCATCTGTGAAGAAAAATCAGTTAACGTTTCGGGTCCAGTGACCCTTCCTCGGAGGAAGTTCTTTCAGTTATTATATAGTTTACACAGCTGCTGGTTCTCAAGCAGTTGGAGTGCAGTTTGCAGACAAGCTGGAGCCAAGTCTGTGGAGATTCTGCTGGCAAGAAATACCTGATTAGTCTGTGGACTAGTGATTAATTATCAGTGAGGTGGGAGAAGCGGTTAGGTGGGAGAGAAGATGGACAGATCAATGAGGCGGGGATGAGAGGGGGCGGTTGGTCTTGGGATGAGGTTGGGGGTGGGGAGATTTTGAAGCTAGTAAAGTCCTCATTGAGACAATTGGGTTGTAAGCTTCCAAGGCGGAATATGAGGTGCTGTTCCTCCAGTTTCCGGGTGGCATCGTTGTTATACTGGAGGAGGCCCAGGTGGTGGGAGGGGGAGTTGAAGTGGTTCGCGACTGCGAGGTGTTGTTTGTTGCAAACTGAGCGTGGGTGCTCTACAAAGCCTTGGAAGCCTACAACCCAGTGGTCTCAATGTGGACTTTACTAGCTTCAAAATCTCCCCAACCCCGACCTCATCCCAAGACCAGCAACCACCCCCTCCCCCATCCCCACCTCCCTGACCTGTCTGCCTTCTCTCCCACCTATCCACTCCTCCCACCTCACTGACCAATCCCCACCACTACCTACCTGCTATCACCGTGCCCCCCTTTCTATTTATTTCAGTGCCCCCTTCCCCCTCCCCCATTTCTGAAGAAGGGTCCTGACCCGAAACATCAGCTTTCCTGCTCCTCTAATGCTGCCTGGCCTGCTGTGTTCCTCCAGCTCCACACTGTTATCTCAGACTCCAGCATTGGCAGTTCTTACCATCTCTGACATTATATTAATACTCGAATAGAATACAGTAGTCTCGACACTGAACTCTTGGCCTTCAGAACTAGATGGTGTACACTTTGCAACTTGCCCAACGCTTTTACCTTTTCACTTAGCTTCATACCACCTTTATGCACTTAGGCACACTAGCATTGCCACTTCGCTTGCAAGCCATCACAATGTCACAAAGGGCAGAAGGGCGAGAGCGAGATGCACATGACCAGTTTCAATGAGACAAAGCAAGAGGGAGATGCCGAGAGTATCAATGGTGGGTTGGGCAAGGGGGTACACGAGCAGGTACCCACATTTACTTCGTTTCTGCACGTTTCCCATGAGGTGATATGAATGCCTGTTGCAGGCCACTTAATTAATTTTGAATTGCCGCAAAAGTGGTTGCGGATGTGCAGTTTTTGCCGGCGGGTGTTGATTTATTGGTTACTTCTTTTTTGCGTGGATAAGTGAGTCCGTGAAAACTGATTTTGCGGATACAGAAGAATAACTACTGAAATGGTTGAATGAGGAAGTTGAGAGGAGGCTCATGTATGTCAAACGCTAGCATATGCCTATAGGATTGATATGGCCTAATTCTGTGTAGAGTTACTGCACTCTTAGGTAGCTAATGTATGCCTATTATTTTTGATACAATTTTCATTTTCACATTCAATATTGAATAGTGTCCTTTCTTTTAGTTATGAACCATCTCAAGGAAGTGGTTGTGTGGTTTAGAACTCTTTAACAGTGTGTCATATACTATTTGCCAATTTTTTTCAAAAGTTTTTTTCAATATGAAAACTGGTTCGTCTGCAACAGACGGAAACTTGCAGAAACCACAGTTATTATCTATCTTTTTGTTGAACTTGCACTTCTTCATTTAGCTACTCTATGTAGCATGCATGAATTGTGAAGTCCCTGCTGCTCTTGGTGTGCAAGGATTTGTATTTCCTTTATTTCCTTGCTGTCACTCCTGCCAAAAATTCAGAACAGGGTTTCATTGCAAGTGATAAACCACGTTGTTTAGACCAGTGTGCTTGAAACCTCATTCCTTGATCTCAGTGGACTTCAGATCCTCCTTGTTTCACATTTTTGTCTTTTTTTTTAAATCACTTCAGTTCCACATTATTTCCATTTTGTTTTCTTTTGATTTGTTATCACATGTATTGCAATACAGTGAAAAGTATTATTTTGCATGCTAACCAGACCCATCATACCTTAAATAAGTGCATAAGGGTAATAGAACAGAGTGCATAATATAGTGTTACAGCTACAGAGAAGGTGCAGGGAAAGATCAACTCGCATATATCAGAGGTCAATTCATAAGCCTGATAAAAGCGGGGAAGAAGCTCTTCTTGAATCTGTTGGTATGCATTTTCAAACTTTTGTATATTGTGCTCGTTGGAAGAAGGTGGAAGAGAGTATAACTGGGGTGGGAAAGGTCTTTGATTATGCTGCTTGGCCTGCTGTGTTCATCCAGCTCTGCACCTTGTTGTCTCAGATTCTCCAGCATCTGCAGTTCCTACTATCTTTGATTATGTTGGCTACTTCCCCTAGGCAGTGGGAAGTGTAGATGGAGTCAGTGAAAGGACGGCTGCTTTTTGTGATGGAATGGGCTATGTTTACAACTTTCTAATTTCTTGCAGTCTTGGGCAGAGCAGTTGCCATATTAAGCTGTGATGCATCCGAATAGGATGCTTTCTATCGTGCATCTTTTAAAAATTGGTAAGAGTTATTGTGGACATGCTGAATTTCCTCAGCCTTCTGAAGAAGTAGAGGTGTTGGTGCGCTTTCTTAACTGTAGCATTGACATGAATGGACGAGGATAGATCATTGATGATATTTGCTTCTAGGAATTATGAAGCTCTTGACCACCTCCACCTCAGCACAATTCCAGACCCCTATTAATTAACTCCTCATTAGGAGTGCAGATTGCTGAGGGCAATATTTCAAAGTCTTTAAATGAATTCTGGAGCCATGTCCAGATGGCTGTTTCTATTTGTAAGTATCAATGAGCCATTTGATCCTGGAAGGTGTTACAGTTAACTTGGAAAGAACGGAGGCTGGAATCATAGGAACAGGAGTAGGCCATCAGCTTGTTCTACCACTGTAAATCATGGCTGATCATCTATCCCAATACTGTATTCTTGCATTATCCCCATATCCTTTGACATTAGTAACAGAAATCTGCCAACCCTGTCTTGAGCTTCCACAGCCCTCTGGGATACAGAATCATTACCCCGAGTGAAGAATTTCCTTCTCGTCTTAGTCCTGAGACTGTATCCACTGGTTCTAAAACTTGCATCTATGGGATGCATTCTTTCTCTCAATTTCTTTAAGAATTTACGCATCTTTGAGATCACCTCTTACTTTTCTAAACTCCAGAGAGAACCAGCCCAGTTTTTTTCAATCCCTTCTCATAGGACAATCCCACCATTACAAAATCAGTCTGGTGAACCTCCACTGCATTCCCTGCACAAGAGGTATGTCCTCCAGGTAAGGGGACCAGAACTGCTTATAATACTCCAGATATAGTCTGACCAGTGTTTGGTATGATTTAACCAAAACATCTTCAGTATTCAAAACCCCTTGCATAAAGGCAACATCCGAATTGCTTGTTGCCCTTCCATGCTAATTTTCAGTTATTTATGAGCAAGGAAGTTAGATTCGTTTGGATATCAACACTTTCCAGTTTCTTAGCATTTTAAAAACTAATCTGCACTATTGTTGCTTCTACTAAAGTGGATAACCTTACATTTCACTACATTATGCTATATTCTCACGTCCACTCAACATCTCTAAATCCTGGTGACAACCTGCCACCCTGAGAATGACCCATTTATCTCTCTTCTCTGCTTTGTCCGTTCACTAATCCTCAATCCACGCTAATATATTGCCCCTAATCCCAGGCACTTTGATTTTGTTTGCTAACCTCCTGTGGGGGACTTTATCAAAAAAACTTGTGACAATTCAAATACACCGTTAGTTCTGCTTATCAAATCTGCTAGCAATATGCTCAAAAAGTTCAAGCAAGTTTGTCCAAGAAGATTCCTCTTTCATCCATATTGACTCTGTCCAATAAGGCATTATTTTCTAAATATCTAGTAATCCCACCCTGTATAATAGGTTCTAATATCTTCCAGATTAACGTAGATCTGTAGTTCCCTGTTTTCTCTCTCTCCTGTCTTTCTTAAACTGTGGGGTTATATCTGCAATTTTCCAATCTGCAGGAACCATTGCAAAATTAGTAGAATTTTTGTAAGAAGATCACCTACACATCCACTATCTTTGCAGCATTCTCTTTTGATACTTTAGTCTGAAAAGTATTAAGTCTTGGGGGTTTTTAATCTCAGTCCAGTTAACTTCTCCAATGCTGCTGTTATACTAAAACTAATTTCTTTTGGTTTCACTTCCTCAATGGATCCCTAGGTCTGGATTATTTCAGGGAGCCTTCTTGTGTTTTTTCTGAATCTTGACTGATTAATTAACCTTCGCTCACCACAGACACTATAAATGTGCTTATTTTTGCTAAGTTAGCAGAAGAGTGACTCAAACTCTTGTTGGTCTGTGTGGTTTAGTATTGCATCTCAATGGATAATGCATTTACTATGGGAGAGTTGATAAATTCCTTCTAGCTTTTCAAGAAAGTGAAGAGTGTTGTCCATTAAGCACGCTGTTGTTTCACAAATGTGCTACAACTTTGAGGAAAATCATGTTTGACCCAAATGCTGTTTATGTTGATCAGCTTTGAAACAAATCTGCCTTCATTTTGGAGCAGGATAAACAGGTGGGTTGATACTTGTCAAGTTACTGAACCACATTCAGGATTCATTACTCTGCTGATGTAGCTAACTCGAGCACAGCAGTTTTTTTTTATTCTTTCATTGAGTGTGTTGCTAGGCCAACATTTATTGCTTGCTGTCTCTTTAATTTTGGTCATTCGTTTCCCTTGCTGAATATTTTCTCTGGATTCCACTAACTGAGTAACCAAGATGTTTAAACTGGGAGCTAACCCAGTGGTCATTATCAACACTATTTTAAAATAAACTCAATATTATCCACTAGATGGAGAGACTAAAACTGGATATGGTATTCTATTTGGAAGAGGGCTCTTATGTGCAGCGATGTGTCCCACTTGCTTCAGAACTGTCTCATGACATGTCTGAACAGGTTGATTGAAATAACTATTCTAATTAAAAGAGGGCTGCTGTGGTGCACAGGTAGTGTACCTATCTCTGAGCTAGAGGCTTCCGCCTACTCTAGAGGTGTATCATGAAATTCCTGAACAGGTTGATTTTAAAACCAGAATAAGTTAAGGCTGAGGATACGTAAGTGGAACATATTTGTTATGTGATTGCTTGTGGTGCAGTGACAGCATCTGTACTTGGCCTGTAGGTCTGGATTCATTTCCCACCTACTACAATAGATTGTCACAACAATATTCCAAACAGTTTGATTAAAGATACTTAATCTAATTGAAGGAGGGCTCTTCTGGCACAGTAGTACTGAACCTACCTCTGAGCTAGGAAGTCGAGGTTCTCCAGAGGTGTGTCATGATATCTGTCAATCGTTTGATTAGACAATATATTTTTGAATTAGAGGAGGGGTCTTGTGGTGCAGTGGTTATATCCCTACCTCTGAGCTAACAGGCTTGGGTTTGAGTCTGACCTCCTTCAGAGGTGTCATAACGTCTCTCAATAGGTTGATTAGAAAATATCTTCCAACCTCTGAGCTGGAAGGCCGGTGTTTGAGCCCCATCTGCTCTAGAGATGTCATAATATCCACGAACTGGTTGATTTTTAAAAAGTGTCTCTTCTAATTGAGACCTAAACAAGGTCTTGTAAAAGGATAAAGCATCACCATCTGTGTTATAGTGAATTGGTCTGGAAGTACAAACTCCTTCTCACTATTGTTTTCCCTGTTTGGAGAAGAACAGAACCTCTTTGGAACATCTGTAGATGAAAGCAGGTGCTATATAAACATAGAGGCAAATCATGTAGTTGTAACCTTACAGAATGTACTGATACAGATATTTGTTCAGTGATTTATTTATCCTGATTGGTTTAAAACTGTGGCTTGTTGATTTTGTGGGTGACTTTAGGCCCACAAGTCATGAACCATGTTGTCTATTTTACACTTGTGTTTCTTACTTACTGTTTTGTTCTCCTAGCTATACTTTTATGTTGTTTCATCAGGACCAGTTCCTATAGAATGCTATGAAATGTTAATGAGTGGAGTGACATAGAGTCGTAGAGATGTACGCACAAAACAGACCCTTCAGTCCAATTTGTCCATGCTGACCTGAT